TGTTAGACAATGGAGATGTTGTCTCAGATTCTAAAGAACCTGTTTATGATGTGGAACAGGAAGCACTGTATGAAGAAGAGCCAAATGAACGAGAGATTGTAGTTGGTGGAGAAATGCTTATTTCAAAGAGGTGCCTCCAATCCCAATCAATTAAGGAGAAATTACAAAGAAACAACATTTTTAACACAAGGTGACATGTCAAGGATAAGGTTGTACAATGATTATTGATGGAGGGAGTTGCACAAATTTAGCCAGCACTATTATGGTAGATAAACTTGGCTTGACAAATTTAAAGGATCCAAGTCCATACAAGCTCCGATGACTCAATGAAGGAGGTGAGTTAAATGTTACAAAATAGGTACTAATTCCATTTTCAATTGGTAGGTACAAGGATGAGGTACTTTGTGATATTGTCCTTATGCATGCTAGCCACATTCTACTTGGGAGACCATGGCAGTATGACAAAAGGGCCATTCATGATTGTTATCACAACCAATAATCCTTTAAGCATGAAGGATGAAATGTAACTTTGGTGTCTTTGACTCCTAAAGAAGTCCAACAAGATCATATTCATATGAGAATGAGCGTCCATGCCTTGCGCAAGAATAAACCACCATTAGAGGCTGAAGATGGACAAGATATGAAATCAATTTTTTTATGAAGAAATATGATGATTCGTTGCTAGAAAAGATTCCAACAAATAATGGCCATGGTTGGAATTCAAAGTCACAACTCTTCATTAAAGATTATGATTCATGTCTCCAAAAGGTATGTAACTCTTCACTTGAAACATCATGCCTTTTCACTTTTCAGGAGAAGCCAAATGAAAGGTCACTTCCAATAAGGATATCTTTAGAAGAAGATCATTCCAAAGAGGTATATGTTAGTAGATTATACTCCAAAGAAAGGCCTATTATGAGTCTTATGAAAAGGTATCTATTGGAAGAACACATTCGCCCAAAGGATACATTCTTTTGCCAAAAGAACACAAAGCAAAGCATTTGGGAGAACATAATGATAAACACTTCAAGCATACCAACCGCTTTGATTTGAGGACAAATCGCCCTAAAAAAGGGGGATGATGCAAGCACATTTTCACCATATACAAAGGGAGTGTTCTTAAACATTTTAATTCTTTACTTTCTTTATATTATTATGATCATATATGAAATAATTATGCAAATCATGTTAAGGTTGTTAGTTATGTGATCTAATGAGCAAAATACTGTAGCCTATCTAGATATTTATGTTAATTGATGCACAATGTTATTTCAAAGCATGTTGAGTATGTTATATTAGTTTTGGATTCATTTAATTATGTTCTAATACATTCATAACATGGAAGCATGCTTAATCATTCATTTTTAGATCATTTGCATTCAATTCAGCTTCTAATTCTTATACATTAGCTTATATATATAATATCATCATGTTCTTAGCTCATGACATGCACTCATAGCTCATAAGGTCATATACATGCACGAAAGCAAGGTAATTGGTTCATACAAGCTCAATCCCTTTGATTTACCTTGTTTTCTTTGCACATGTAGGTACATGGAAGCATGGAACACATTGGGGAAGCCTTTGCAATGCTTTATTACAGTAAACTTGTTTGTTTGAATTCATGAGGTGATTTTTGTATTCTTTCACGTCGAGTGAAATATGTCATCGACTACGTGGTTTACTTCTCTTTCATGTTCAAGTACTGTGATTCAACCTTCCAATCAAACATCCATTCCTTTTATACTCCAATGGCTGAGATTCATTTTCCTATCCCCGTGTCCTCAGAGAGTTCTCTTCTCTGCCATTGATCTCCTCTTCCTACTTACCCTAATTGTTTTGGCTGTTCACAAGCTTTTCTTTAGATTCTTAGGCAATATCCATGGCAGCTCTAACTTAAACAAGACCCAGTAGAGCCCTTCTCGGGACTACCATATGGTTCAAGCTCTCTTTGATTGTCACTGTTGTGCTTGCGCTTTGTTATACTATTGTCTCCTTTTTTGCATTTACTAGCATTAGCCAGGAGCCTTGGAAACAATTTGATAGCATATTTTGGTTAATTCAAGCCATAACTTATTCAGGGATTGCTATCTTAATCATCCATGAAAAGCGATTTCGAGTTGTTAACCATCCTATCGTTCTCCGAATTTATGAATTTCGTTATTGTTTCATTGTTTGCTTTTTCGCTCACTCTTCATGTGAGCTTCGTTTCTTACCGGAGTCGCCATTACCAAAGTACAAAAATTAAAAATATCATTTTAGATTTGTCTATTTCCGAGTCTGTTATCCAAGGTGGATGATCTTTGACTCACCCATTCTTTGATAGAGAAACTCAACATTTTTTCTAAAGCCGAGGAATTAGGGCTGCTCAGCTTGTTAGAGAAGGTGACCAGTGTATCCCCTTCCACTCTAGCTTCGGCGGTACTTCCAACTTTAGTGCCGGCCCTCTTTGGTAAGCACCACCTTGCCACTCTTCAATTAAATTAAAAATAATTAAAATTTAGTGACTAAAATAAGAGTGAGAAGATAGTTGAATGATGAATGATGTAATTTACCCAAAAAATAAAAAAACATATTTTTAAGTGGCACCTGTCAGTTTGTTATAGGTTATTGGGTTCCACGTCACTTTTTGTATAGTTCATCGAGAATTTTTAAACATTACGTATGAAACTAAGAATCAGGTATAGTTCATCTATGAATGGGGTAATTAACCCTATATAACATAGTATATATATTTTCATATATGGTTAAAATATTTTAAAATATATACTATATATACCCATTTTTAAAAACTAAATATTTTCAATATATATATATATATATATATATATATATATATATATACATATATATATACATACACACACAAAAATATATATATATATATATATATATATATGATACGATCCAAACTAGCTCCAACTTTCTCCATGACTTGAACACACCATGGATGTTCTTCAAAGTTGTTTCTAAGGGAGTTCTTCATTACCCTATATTATACTTTATCCTTTATACATTCTATTCTATCATAAGCATGCATTCACATGTTAGTATAAATAATCATATTATTATTTCCATCCGTATGCTTATTTGATCACGTTTTTCATATTATTCAAATATATGCTATGATTACTTATCATTTCTTAGGATATTATTATTACATGTTTCCATTTATCATTTATGAATACCATGTTATATAATATTCATGCATACAACATATACCCATATCTTTATGATTAATACACAATGTTATAAGCATGTTAGGATAGTCTTATAATAATATTAAGCATGATTATCATATATACATCAAGGCATCATCATTATAAATCATTTCATTAGTTCATATGCATTCATATTAGCACTTAAGCTTCATGCATTATCTTACACATATTTTGAGATGATATAATTAGGTCATGACCTTCAAACTTAGCTCACATTACTATAAATCAAACATGACAGAAAGGTATTTAGCTCGTCTTAGCTGAATATCATGGACTTACCTTATTTCCTTGCACATATAGGTACAATGGAGTTTGATGATTGTTGAGGTAGCTTGGTGGATTATTTGGACATCATATGTAGCTCAGAAATAGCTCACAAAGTACATGGCAGCTCATGAAACACTAAGAAAAGCTCAATACAGCTGAAAGAGCTCAAGGCTAGCTAAACTCAGCTAGTTGGACTATTTGGAGCTGAGTTGCCAAAAGAGATATCAATGGTAGCTGAATGTAGCTGAACATATTGTTATGAAGCTCACAAAGACTCTACTAAGAAGATTATTCACAAAACAGCCCATACTTGTTAGCTAGCTCCACAACTCAAGCTATCTTGGAGGAGACATGTGCACGCCCAATAGGGAACATATGACCAGCCATCATCCCATGCACAAGGCTGCACCACAATGCTCCCTAGAACACCCATGTGCATGCCATATGACCAGCCCCCATGTGCTATGCATATGATCTCATTTAGGTGCCAAGATGAAGAACCATTTAACCATTTAACCAAGCATCATCTCCTCTCCCATTTAGTGCCAATTTGAAGGGATATAAGTGTTATTCGACCAAGGATCATTTCCCTCCATCAAGGGCCGAACCATCATCTCTTTTAGCATTTAAATTATGTCTTTATAGAGAGATACATGGGTTGGCCGAACAATTATGTCTCTATTCGGCCATGCCCCTCCATTTACTATAAATAGGAAAGCATATCTCAATTGTACTCACACCATTTTGATTAATATAAGTGAGATTATTCTATTCTTTAAGTCCAGGTGACTTTTATCGACTTATCAAGTATTTTTATACTTGTGGCGTCAACCCCTTTCTTTTCACCTTAATACTTATGGTTCATAGTTCATATAACTAGTGGGTCAAAGTACTTAATACCACCCCTTGAAGAAGCAATATAAAGTCTGGGTCTTTGCTCTCTATAGCATTGGTTCTTCTTTAAGACTTCTTCAAGATACTATCCTCACTACCATCCCTTTGTTTCATAAGCCATAACCATAGCCTTATCAACCATCTTCCGCTTCCATCTCTTATTTTAAACAGCCCACCTATTTCACCCATACGTTTACTACCTTAACCATCTCTTTTAAGCCATTCACTTGTGTAGGTTATTTGCTTCCTTCCTAGATCCACAATCAATTTGTTAAGGTACAAATGCCGTACATCAAGTGGCATCAGGAGCATCACATCACGCGGTAATCAGATCTTTGGTGGAAGAAAGTAACGTGCAACAACAACAAAAAGAAAAATACAAAAAAAAGTGCAAAGTGAAGCGCAAAGTCAAAGAAAAAGAAAAATCAGAAAAGAAAGTGAAGCACTCAAAAGAAAGAAAAAAATCCAGCACTCAAAAGAAGAAAAAGAAAAGAAAAGAAAAGAAAGAATTTAAAGTACTCATCAACAATTATCATCACCAAGAAATTTAAGTAAGCCGTTTAAATTGATTGTGGTGATACAAGGTTGTGAATTGACTTGTGTAAGTAACCCCTTTTGTTCTCTTCTTTCTATTTTTCTAAGCCACCCTTTCAATTATATTTTTCTTTACGATCCTACTAACCCTTTTGCAGCCGATGCCAAACAAGTAAAATTTACTTGATACAGTCTTGAGTAAAGTTCTCTAGAACTTGGGACAAGAGAATCGAGAGGGAAAAGGCAGAGTGTGTGAGATCAGTAGAGGACAAGTAAAAGCCTTAAAGTCCTAGAGTGTAAACACGAGTGGATTGAGTGACATCAAGTTTACTTGGAGTGACTCGTGAGGCTTTGTGAGAGTATATTCTGGTAAGGTCCTACACACATTTCATTTTTCCTTATTTGCTAACATGTCTCTTCCATCCAACATACATGTAGTCAAAAGGACTTTGAACATTCAAAGTCAAGAGGATGAACAGAGAGAGAACATCTTCCATACCAAATGTCACGTGGGAGATAAAGTTTGTGTGGTGATCATTGATGGAGGAAGTTGTACAAATGTAGCAAGTACTCACATGGTGGAAAACTTGGGTCTCAAGACTTCCAAGCACCTCATCCATACAAACTTCAGTGGCTCAACGTTGTGGGTGAAGCAAAGGTAACCAAATAAGTTATTGTACCTTTTTTAATTGGAAGATACAATGATGAAGTCTTTTGTGACATGGTTCCCATGAGTGCAAGCCACCTTATACTTGGGCATCCTTGGCAATATGATAAGAAGGCTACCCATGACGGATTCTCTAACAAGTACTCTTTCCAACATCAAGGGAGGAAAATCATATTAGCATCGATGCTTCTAAGCCAAGTTCATGAATGTCAAGTAACCCTCAAGTCACGCATAGAAGAATGGGAGAAAACGAAGGCCATGAAGAAAAATATTGAAGATATGAGGAGAAATGAGCAAATCAAATAAAATACCATTGAAGAAGAATATTTTGAGGAGACAAGAAGAATTAGAAATGAATCTGTTGAAGTTGAAAAGGATGATTTGCAGGTAGTAGAGCAAATTGAAAATGGCATATTTGAAAATGATGAGTGTAGAGAAGAGAAGCAGAGTGAAGGATAAATTTTACCTAACAAATCTTCTTCTACTATTTCTTTTTCCTTGCAGGATATTCCAAGAGAAATATTTTTTCAAGCTGGAGATTCAAGAAACATGTCTTTTGAAGAATCAATAGATGTGACTTTTGGTGATCCACAAGACATGTCCTTTGACATTTCAAAGGATGTACCTCTTGAAATTCAAAAGAATGTGCCAATTGAAGTGCCACAAGTTGTGATCATTGAGGCTCCAAGTACATTACAACTATTGAAGAGATTTCAACAACCAATGGAGTTTTCCATCATCAAACAACCAACACCCTTTAAACATCCTTCATGGTTTGCTATTTCCATTCATCTTGTTTATTCAGTTTCTAACTTTTGTTTATTTTGGAGTGAAATGATTCATTTCTATGGAGTTATTTTCACACGTGTTGAACAATTCAAAGAGATGAATCGAGCATTATCCACCAGCTCAAAAGCTATCATTTGGAAAGGTACAAAGTTTAAAGGAGTGATCCAAAAGGCAAGTTCTATTCTAAAAGGATATCACGTTTCCAAAGAGGGATCTCAATGGACTTGTGCCTTTTCAATCGAATGTGTAGTTTCAAGTAAAAAGGTAAGATTATTCACCCACAAAGGATATGATTCTCTTGAAGAGTTAGAGATTCATCAAAGGGAACATGATGGTTCAAAGGAAAACTTCCAAAGATTATGTCCTTTCACCAAGGGTGATGAATTTCCAAATAGACATGATGATTTAAATCAGCACCAAGGAGTTATTATCTTCGCCAAAGGATATGTCTCTCCCGTTCAAAGGACATGTGATGATTCCCAAACATTGTGTCCTCCCATCAAAGGATGTGAAGTTACCAGATTTGAAGCCAAGAGGTTGAACATATCGTATGAATCACCTATTGGAGGAAAACATAAGGATTCAGTCATTCCTATATCAAGAAGGTCTTCAATGAGAAACTAATTTGATTTGAGGACAAATCGCCTAAAATAAGGGGAGGATGATACGATCCAAACTAGTTCCAACTTTCTCCATGACTTGAACACACCATGGATTTTCCTCAAAGCTGTTTCTAAGGGAGTTTTTCATATTATTCAAATATATGCTATGATTACATATCATTTCTTAGGATATTATTATTACATGTTTCCATTTATCATTTATGAATACCATGTTATATAATATTCATGCATACAACATATACCCATATCTTTATGATTGATACACAATGTTATAAGCGTGATAGGATAATCTTATAATCATATTAAGCATGATTATCATATATACATCAAGGCAAAATCATTATAAATCATTTCATTATTTCATATTCATTCATATTAGCTATTAAGATTTATGCATTATCTTACACATATTTTGAGATGATATAATTAGCTCATGACCTTCAAACTTAGCTCACATTACTATAAATAAAACGTGGCAGCAAGGTATTTAGCTCGTCTTAGCTCCATATCATGGACTTACCTTATTTCCTTGCACATATAGGTAATATGGAGTGTGATGAACGTTGAGGTAGCTTGGTGGATGATTTGGACATCATATGCAGCTCACAAATAGCTCACAAAGTACATGGCAGCTCATGGAACACTAAGGAAAGCTCAATACAGCTGGAGGAGCTTAAGGCTAGCTAAACTCAACTAGTTGGACTATTTGGAGCTGAGTTACCAAAAGTGATATCAATGGTAGCTGAATGTAGCTCAACATATTGTTATAGAGCTCACAAAGACTCGGCTAAGAAGATTATTCACAAAACAACCCATACTTATTAGCTAGCTCCACAACTCAAGCTATATTGGAGGAGACATGTGCACGCCTAATAGGGAACATATGACCAGCCATCATCCCATGCACAAGCCTGCACCACAAGGCTCCCTAGAACACCCATGTGCGTGCCATATGACCAGCCCCATGTGCCGTGCATATGATCTCATTTAGGCGCCAAGATGAAGAGCCATTTAACCATTCGGCCAAGCATCATCTCCTCTCCCATTTGGCGCCAATTTGAAGGGATACAAGTGTTATTCAGCCAAGGATAATATCCCTCAATCAAGGGCCGAACCATCATCTCTTTTAGCATTTAAATTATGTCTTTATTGGGAGATACATGGGCTGGCCGAACCATTATGTCTCTATTCGGCCATGCCCCTCCATTTACTATAAATAGGAAAGCATATCTCAATTGTACTCAGACCATTTTGATTAATATAAGTGAGATTATTCTCTTCTTTAAGTCCTGGTGACTTTTATCGACTTATCAAGTATTTTTATACTTGTGGCGTCAACCCCTTTCTTTTCACCTTGATATTTATGGTTCCTAGTTCATATAACTAGTGGGTCAATGTACTTAATACCACCCCTTGAAGAAGCAATATAAAGTCTGGGTCTTTTCTCTCTACAGCATTGGTTCTTCTTTGAGACTTCTTCAAGATACTATCCTCACTACCATCCATTTGTTTCATAAGCCATAACCATAACCTTATCAACCATCTTTCGCTTCCATCTCTCATTTTAAATAGCCCACCTATTTCACCCATACGTTTACTACCTTAACCATCTCTTTTGAACCATTCACTTGTGCAGGTTGTTTGCTTTCTTCTTAGATCCACAATCAATTTGTTATGGTACAAATACCGTACATCAAGTGGCATCTGGAGCATCACATCAATATATATATATTCAAATATAATACTATAATATATATGCATATATGTTTATAAACGACTATATTGTACAGACTATAACAAAACAAAATTAAATTAAATTAAATTAAAATTTGGGATGAATATTTGGACAAAAATATGTGTGTACAAAATCATTATAGTTCACCTATGCATTAGTAAAGAATTGAAAGTGCAATCAATCATGCATCCTAATTTAAGGATCTCACATTGCCTCAACACAAAACTCAAGTTCAACGTACTATTATAAATGCTTTCTTGTTTTGATCAACAATGAGTGTCTTGACTCTCAAACTATCAAATAAAAAAATAATAATGATTTATACATATTAGAAAATAAGTGTGAGTTATAAAGCTCAACGAATGACTAAACTTTCAAACATGATCTACACATCAAGACTAAAGGAAAGCATCATAAATATTATAAACCTTACTTGTTCACACCCCAAATGTTCATACTTCATCATCATGCCATAATGTCCATATAATGCACATTTAATGCACCAAAAATCAGAATATAGTCATGCCTTATAATTTATAGTTATGGCTACCAATATCACATACACATGCACTATTACTTTTGCTTGTTATTATCAACATGCATCACATACAAGTTTCCAATTTAGATGATGGACACTTAATTTTATATAACTCTCACTTTATTTAAGAGTCATGTAGATCCCAAAATCACGATAATGGTGGAGCAAGCTCTAACACCCCAAACTTACACTGTATACTTCAAGTGGAGTAAAATCGACACTTTCAACTTACCTCATATATTGGTATCACTTACACATATATAAAAACATAGAATACTCTTTATTGGGTATGTCTTTCATATCCAAAGGTCTCATAGTGAAAAACTTTCCAATTAATCTATATTTATCATAAGTAGTTGTTGTTGTTTAATGCATAACAAATAACATTTTGAAACCGAATATGTAACCCCCTTAACCCGACCTGGGAGTTTCGATTGAATCTAAACTACCATATGTCGTATACAAAAGTCCATTTCATATTTAAAACAAAATCCAAATCCATTTCAGTAAATAAAATTCAAGAAAGCATAAAGTGCTAATATAACGATCGTGAAAGTCTAAGATGTAAATATATAGGGATATCAACATTGGAAAACAAAATATCAGTAATAAGGATACATAAGCTGTAGTAAAACAAGTGTTACCAAAATATAATAGAAAAAGTGTATATAAATATACAGTGATACAAATGGAGAATATACGATTCTTCAAATGCCAAGTCACCTAGCCTATTGTCGAGTAGTATTTGAAAAGTAAAAAAATTGAAGAATGATCTAAAAAGTCTTGTGTGATCCTTGCAGTGTATAAAAACATACACATAAAACACTACAGTAAAATTCAAGTGTAAAATAGGTTTTGAAAACATGAACACTACCCAATCCAAACACTAGAATGGGTAGGTTCCCCTGAACCATGCACCCACATGTACACCCTGTAATGACTTTATACTAATAGTATAACTGTTAGACATATGAGCACAACTACCCCATCCACTATCTAGAGTTAGCTACATCGACCACAAAATTGGCCTTGCCCTAATGATACTCTATCTCACAATCATAATCCTTCAAGAGCTCCAACTAGCTATGTTACCTTAGATTTAATTGCTTCTGAGTAAGTAGACACTTTCGACTCTTATGATCAGTATATAACTCTTCTCTCCATAGAGATAGTGTCTCCAAATCTTAAAAGCGAATACCATTGTAATCGTGGGTGGGGTAGTTACGCTCATGTGGCTTTAACTAATGGGACGCGTAAAATACAATCTTTCCATCTTGCATAAGAACAAATCTCAATCCAGAGTGTAAATATCACTATAAAAAGAAAAATCCTTCCCAGGCTCAGGCTGAATCTATAATGGGACATTAGTCAGAACCGTCTTTAGTTTCTTGAAGCTTGAATGCTAAGCTTTGGACCAGACAAACGAGACATCATTCCTCAAAAACTTCGTCAAAAGAGCTATAATGATGGAGAAACCATAAAAACTACGAATCTCTGAGATGTTCTTGGGTGGCTTCCAACTTAGAATAGCCTCTAATTTACTCGGATCTACACAAATACCCTTAGCAGATAAAATATGACCTAGAAAAGCCACCTTGTTGAGCCAAAACTCACACTTGATCAACTTGAAAAACAATTTATGCTCCCTCAAAGTCTGCATGATGATCCTTAAATGCTCATCATGCTCTGTTACAGTATGGGAATACACCAAAATGTCATCGATGAACTCAACCATAAGCTGGTCCAGATAAGGTAGAAACACTCTATTCATCAAATCCATTAAGGTAGTAGGGGCATATCTTAACCTGAATGACATTATTATAAACTTGTAATGCCCATATCGATATGAAAAAAGTATTGGGGACATCAAAATCCTTCACCTTGAGTTGGTAATAACCAGATCTCAAATCTATCTTCAAAAAGATGGTAGCCCCTCTAAATTGGTCAAACAGATCGATCAATCATGGGTAGAGGATATTTTTTAACCATGTGCTTGTTCAGCTTCCTATAATCAATACAAAGTCTCAATTTCCCATCTTTTTTTTAACAAAGAAAATCGGAGCACCCCATAGTGAAACGCTAGGATGAATGAATGCCCTATGAAATAACTCATGGAGTTGGCCCTTCAGTTCCTTAAGCTCCTTCAAAACTAAACTCCTCTATTCGAAGGCAATGCAAGCAACTCCTCCGGGAATACATTAGTAAATTCTTGAAAGGTATAGATTCTTTCTACGTTTGATCGGGAACCATTGGTATACAAAATATAAGCAAGAAATGCCTCATAACCCTTTCTGATAATCCTTTCAACTACCAAGGCAGATACAACATTCTTCAAGAAACCACGACATTCCTCGATCATCATTATCCTCTTGTTATCATGAGTCTTCAGAATAACTTTCTTGGTCTCAAAATCGAGAATAACTAGATGCTCATACAACCAATCTATGTCAAGAGTCAAGTCGAACTCTTCTAATGGAAACCCCATCAGTTCCGCCAAAAAGACCTCCCCATGGATATGTATAGAATATCCTCTAAAAATTTGGTCTATGTTAATGGACTGAACTATGGGGTTTAGAACTTTCACAGGACTCTCAGTATTCCAAACCAGGATGTCAAGAACCCAGATATAAAACATGATACATAGGAACAAGTACATCCAAGATAAAATAAAGAAAAGTATAAAATTGAATCAATAATAACAATACATGCATCTACTAATAGACATATATGTTTTTCGTTGGCTATGTGATATAAGATGAATCTACACTCTTAAAGGGAAGTGAGTAGATAGCCTTATTGTTGTTCCAATATAGGAATGACAAAAAGTAATGCCCTCGAATTATAGGTATGGCTGCAACAAAGAAGATGAATAAATAGTATTAGTAATGAAACAATTAAATGGATAAGTAAACAGTAAACATACTTGAAATGTCAAGAAGGTAGTTCTAAGAAGAACCAACATTGAGAGAAAAACTCACAATACTTTTTATGCATAAAAATGTCTGATTATAAATGAAATAGGAAAGCCTATTTATAGAATTTTAAAGGGGTATAGCTGAATGGTATTTGACCAGACCTTGTGCTCCCTCAAAGACATAATTTAATGCTTAAATAACATGAATAAATGAATGCTGGTTCGCTGGTCATATGCAACATGACTTGGACGTGTATGAGCTTGCTTGAGTGGGTATCTAGTTAGAAAACAAGGGCTGGTGGTGATTAACTGGCCTTAAGTTCTCTTTAGTGTTCCACTAGCTGTCTAGATTCTTTGTGAGCTGTTTGTGTCTCCCAAATGCTCAACCAAGCTGTTTGTCTTCCCAAATGCTCCACTAAGTTGTATGTGTCTTCCAAATGCTTCATCAAGTTGTCCCAACCTGTATCATGCTCCAATGAGCTGTATATGTCTTCTATGGATGAATAGTTGCAAATCCCGTATTTATTTCCAGCCTGCACTATCTTCAATAATCTGGGAATATCTTGAGCTCCCAATATCAGATTGATACGATTAAAAGTTCGTTGGAAATATAAGAGATAGGAGATTAAATGTTAAGGAGACTTTATCACTCAAAGTTTCTTGGAACATGTTTAAAAGTGGCAATCAATATGAGTGATGTGAACTGTCCATTGGATTGCCTTGAACGCACCTTGCAATAAATACAAAATGTATATAAGTTACAATGCTCAAGTTCATGAATAAATAATAAGTATACTGCCATTATTTAAATGTGATGAATCATGCTTAGCAAAAATGAATGCATGTGAGCTAATGAATGATAGATATGCTGGCATTATATAAATGATATGCAAACATAATAAATGAATCTAAAACATATGTAAACATAATATAAAGATAAGTAAAGATGTGGAAACATCTATTATTCATATAAGTACTTAGTATAACTAAGGTGGCGTTACACATCATTATGCAAAATATTAAAATGCTTCGTTTCTAAGGCATAAACATTATGAAATGATTAAGAAATTTGTAAACACTTAAGAGAAAGAACTTCCCTGAAATGCTTTGCCTTAGAACGTGTGATAGGTACTATTGGTAAGACCTCCGGATCAGCTTCCTTTGCTGGCATAGATGTACTCACATCAGTTCCAATACTCAAGGTAATGAATAAGTAATAAGTAACATTCTAATATAACACATGATTCCATTGCTAATATAATAATGCAATGGATATGATAACATAAGTAAGGAATGTGTAACACATGCATTAAAGAAGATAATTAAAGATGTGACATGCATGAATATCATATAGGATGCAACCATAGGACAATATATGAATATTCAAGCATAATTTAGAATGTCAAAGCATGCTTATAACACATATAAAGCATAAATGAGTAAATAAGTAATAAAATATGGAAGAACTCCTTTGGAATCATCTTGGAAGAACTTCAAAGTTGTGAGCATGTTTTGTTTGAACATGGTGGTCGATAGAATCACAACATCCCCCCTTCATTTAGTTGATTTGTCCTACCTTCTTGAAAAATATTTTACCTCAAATCTGCATAAACATTATAAGGGGATAACTCAGAAACGTTAAATGTAGCACTTTCGTTGAATTGACCCGGTAAGTCCAACTTATAAGCGTTATCGTTCACTTTCTCCAACACTTGAAATGGACCATCTCCTCGTGGTAACAACTTAGAACGCCGTTGGACTGGAAAATGTTCATTTCAAAAATGAACCCAAACCCAATCTCCAACATCAAAGGTAACTCGCTTACGAACTTTATTTGCTTTCTTTTCTTACTGTTGATTCCTCCGTTCTAGATTTTCCTTAACCTGTTGATGCAACCTGATGTGATCATGTGTAGCTCCAATTATCTCAATGACTTTATCACACCATGGATGTTATTCAAATATAGTTCTAAGGGAGTTCTACCTTACTTTATCTTATATTTACTTATTTATGCACTATATATTATTATAAGCATACATTTGCAAATTAGACTATACCTGAATTATCATAACATGTGCATTCATTCATTATATGGTTTGCATCATTGATTGATATTCAAGCATATAATCTATAGTTATAATAATAATATTCATTTATTAACATATGACGCATGAGTTATTATTATAACCTATAGTCTACATCTTTATATTATAAGTTATTTACTTTAAATACTTAGCTTATATTATGCTTTCTTTTGTAGGTACATAGGCGGCCACATGATGGGAGCTAACTTAAATATAGCATTTGAGTCCAAGAGCTATGGAAACTTAACTAGGACAACTCCAGGACAGTTCAAGATCATTTTGGGACAAAGTTGCCAGCTGACCCCCGAGCTCACAGTTGACTTGAGCTAGACTTTTAAGCTAGCTAGAGGTCTCATTTCAGCTGGAGAGTTGGACCATCATTACTACCACACAAAGCACTACAAATATTGTCTAGGTCAATTTTTGTGGATTTGGACCATTTCGTGAAGAGTTGCCATCCTAAGAGGTGTCTTTTCACAAGGAGCTGACCAAAGACTCATCTTCATGTACTTCATCTATGGCCAGCTCATCTTCAGCTCAAACACATGGAAAATAGCTTAAATAATGAAAGGTTACCTTCTACACATGTGACCTTTCATGACAAGTTGCTACCCATTGAAGACCATAACACCTATATGCACGTTGGAAGCTAAGTCACGCCTAGTTGCTGCCTATCTTCATTCCATGGACTTCAAGACATAATCCTATGGTTGCAACCTCACCAAAGCATTGCAAGAAGACCCATGTGCATTTAAGTAGGCTGCCATGTGCATCATTCAAGCATGTGCACTCCATGTGACATTAAATTGGCGCAAAAACACCAAGGGATGCTTCCTATTCGGCCAAAGGCTCTCTCCTCTTCATTTTAGCACCCAAATAACTTCCAAATGCATTCAAATCATCCTTAGGGCCGAACCAACACATAACCATTCGACCAATAGCATGTATATTCATTTAAATAATGTATTTTCATAAAAGAAATCATGTATTTTCAAAGGGGTTTCAACCTTGACCAAACCATCAAGTGTTTATTCGACCTAAACCCTTTGAAAACTATAAATAGGCTAGGCTATTTAAATTGTAAGGCAACCCTTTGATAATATAAATCTTTGTGAGATTATTCTTTCTTCAAGTTCTTTTTAGAACTATATCGATTAATCAAGCTTATTCTAAGTTTGTGGCGTCATTCCTTCCCCTTGATACTTCTGGTTCCTATCTCTTTAAAGATAGTAGGTCAAAGTCCTTGCTACCATCCCTTATAACGACTTATAAGAAATGGGTCTTTTCTCTTTATAACATTGGTTCATTCTTAGTCTTATAAGATACTATCTATTTATCACCATCTTCCATCACCATTTTCACGCCTATAACATCACCATCTTCCATCCCCATTGTACACCTATATCATCACCATCCTCTATCACCATTTCACGCCTATATCAGCACTATTCCCTTACCACCTATTCACCATTAAATCATCATTCATTCATCAACAAGGCATACATCCATTTCACCATTGGAGGCCGATTTCATCAACACTTGAAGGATATTTATTCAACACTTCCGCAACCTACTTTGATATCATTTCTTTCCATTTCATTCCATATCAATTTCCATTTCATTCAATCCTTATTTTTATTTAATAATTTCTTCTTTCAATTGTGCAGATCACTTTCAATTCAAAGTGTAGCATTTGGTGTCTCTTCTAGATCGGGAAACAACAAAGCTTCCAACTTCTCCATTATTGAAGAAGCCTGAATAGCCTTACATCAAGTGGTATCAAAGCTTTATTGGAATGACAATCAAGTTCTGTAACAAAAAGCAAAAGAAAAAAGATAAGCAAAAAAGCAAAAGAAAGAAGAAAAACAAAAAGAAAAAGAAAAGACTCCTACAACAAATTTGGAGTGCAAAAGAAAGAAAAGAAAAGAAGAAAAAAATTCAATGAAAAATAAGTGAAGAAAGTTGCAAAGTAAACTCAAAGATAAACACAAAACAATCTGCCCAACAACAAACTAGAAGGAGGTATCCTTGTTGTTTCTTATGAAGAAATATAGTAAGTGTTGCTACTTGAGTTGTAAGTTATCTTCACTTTTTTACTATTTCATTTTCTTATTCTTTCATCAATTCTTACTCTATTACCTTATCACTTTCTTAACCTTTTCTATTCTACCCTACCATAACCATTTCTATACCCTAACCATTTCTTTTAAGCCGACGCACAAACTAAAGAGTCTTGGTCAATCTTGAGTTATTTCTTAAAAAGGACCCATAAGAGAGAATTGAACGAAAAAAGAAAAATGAGAGGGTGAGATCATAAGGGAGATCATAAAAAGCCAAGAACATATCCCCGAGTGCAAACACGAGTACGAGTGGAATGAAGTCTTAATTTTATTTTGAGTGACCAAGTGAGGCTTTTGTGAGTGTACTGGTAAGGTTTTATTTTTATTTTTATACTAACAATGTCTTATGATCTTCCATCTTTCCAAACATTGAAGGATGAACAACAAAGAACATACACATTTCACACTCGTTTCCATGTAGATGGTAAAGTGTGTGTTGTAGCTATTGATAGAGGAAGTTGTACAAACATTGCAAGCACATACATGGTCAATAAGTTGGGACTTACAACATTCAAACTTCCCAGTCCATACGTTTTGCAAGGATTAAATGAAGATGAAGAGTTTGAAGTCATATAGCAAGTACTTGTGCCCTTTTCAATTGGGAGATATAAAGATGAAGTCTTTTATGATGTTGCTTTTATAAATTCAAGCCATCTTCTATTTCGGTCGACCTTGGCATTTTGATAAACGAGCATTGTATGATGGATTCACAAATCGGTATTCATTCTACAACAATAAAAGAAAAATCATCTTGACTCTATTATCCTCTTATCGAGTAAATAAAAATAAAAACACCTTGAGGGAACGCATTAAAACAATGAAGGAACAACTTGAAGAAGAATGTTTAGAAGAAAGTTGCAGTGAAGGAATGCAATTTGAAATTGAACAAAACGTTGAAAATGATGAAAATCAGAGAGTGGATGAAGAACACATTGGAATTAAAAATGAGAGGAATGAGATTGAAGCATAAGAGGAGACTTTTGAACAAATTTTATCTAACTTTACTCCTTCTCCTATCTTTTCTTATGTTTTGTAGGGAAATTCAAAAGACATCTTTTCGAGGAGATGATTCAAGAATCATGGCTTTTGGAGGACTAAAAGATGTGACTTTTGAAGAGGTTATACCATTTGAAGTTCCAAAAGAAGCATTCCTTGAAGTGCCAAGAGTTGTGTTTGTTGACATTCCTAGTGCATTGCCAATTATGAAAAGAATTCAGCAACCAACTCCCATTAAACATCCACCATGTTTTGATATGTCCATTCATCTTTTCAATAGTTTTTCATTTACTTATTTTGATTCATTTTGCAGCAATTCGATTCATGTCTGTGGCATTATTTTATCAATTTGTGATGGAAATGATGATTTAAAGGACACACTTTGTCAAGGGAAAGAGATAAGAAACGTGAATCATAAAGGCTTAACGGACGTAACCCTTCAAGAGCATAGAATTGTGAATTTTCATGATCCAATGGACATGACTTTTGGGATGCCAAGGGATATGATCATTCAAAGCAACATGTCTTCAATAGACATGGTTTTTAACCAACCATCAAATACCAATAGGAAGTACAATTTTCCTTTATTTGTATTCAATCGTGTCTTTACTTATGAGAGTTATCTTTTTTTTTTCAGTTCATGTATATTCAAAGCACTTATTCAGAGGACATGACTTATGAAAAGAATCTTTGTCACTTTTGCCAAATCGCCCAAAAGAAGGGGAGGATGATGTGATCCTATCTAGCTCTAAATTTCACCATGACTTGATCACACCATGGATATTATTCAAATCTGGTTCTAAGGGAGTTCTACCTTACTTTATCTTATATTTACTCATATATGCACTATATATTATTATAAGCATACATTTGTAGATTAGACTATACTTGAATTATCATAACATGTGCATTCATTCACTATATGGTTTGCATCGCTGATTGATATTCAAGCATATAGTCTATAGTTATAATAATAATATTCATTCATTAACATATGATGCATGAGTTATTATTATAACCTATAGTCTACATCTTTATATTATAAGTTATTTAATTTAAATACTTAGCTTATATTATGCTTTCTTTTGTAGGTACATAGGCGGCCACATGATGGGAGCTAACTTAAAGCTAGTATTGGAGTCCAAGACCTATGTAAACTTGACTAGGATAACTTCGGGACAACTCAAGATCATTTTGGGACAAAGTTGCCAGCTGACCCCCGAGCTCATATCTAACTTGAGCTGGACTTTTGAGCTAGCTAGAGGTCTCATTTCAACTGGAGAGTTGTACCATCATTACCACCACACAGAGAACTACAAATATGGTCTAGGTCAATTTTTGTGGATTCGTACCTTTTTGTGAAGAGTTGACATACCAAGAGGTGCCTTTTCACAAGGAGCTGATCAAAAACTCATCTTCATGTAGTTCATCTATGGCCAGCTCATCTTCAGCTCAAACACATGGAAAGTAGCTCAAATAATGAAAGGTTACCTTCTACACATGTGACCTTTCATGACAAGTTGCTGCCCATTGAAGACCATGACACCTAGATGCACGTTGGAAGCTAAGTCATGCCTACTTGCTGTCTATCTTCATTCCATGGACTTCAAGACATCATCATATGGTTGAAACCTCACCAAAGCATTGCAAGAAGACCCATGTGAATTCAAGTAGGCTTCCATGTGCATCATTCAAGCATGTTCACTCTATGTGACATTAAATTGGCGCCAAAACACCAAGGGATGCTTCCTATTCGGCCAAAGACTCTTTCCTCTTCATTTTGGCACCCAAATAACTTCCAAATGCATTCAAATCTTCCTTAGGGCTGAACCAACATATAACCATTCGGCCAAGAGCATGTGTCTTCATTTAAATCATGTAGTTTCATCAAAAATCATGTATTTTCAAAGGGGTTTCAACCTTGACCAAACCATCAAGTGTTTATTCGGCCTAAACCCTTTGAAAACTATAAATAGGCTAGGCTTTTTACATTGTAAGACAACCCTTTGATAATATAAATCCTAGTGAGATTATTCTCTCTTCCAGTTCTTTTTAGAACTATATCGATTAAGCAAGCTTATTCTAAGTTTGTGGCGTCATTCCTTCCTCTTGATACTTCTGGTTCCTATCTCTTTATAGATAGTGGGTCAAAGTCCTTGCTACCATCCCTTATAAAGACTTATAAGAAATGGGTATTTTCTCTTTATAACATTGGTTCATTCTTAGTCTTATAAGATACTATCTATTCATCACCATATTCCATCACCATTTTCACGCCTATAACATCACCATCTTCCATCCCCATTGTACACCTATATCATCACCATCCTCTATCACCATTTCACGCCTATATCAACACTATTCCCTTACCACCTATTCACCATTAAATCATCCTTCATTCATCAACAAGGCATACATCCATTTCACTATTGGAGGCCGATTTCATCAACACTCGAAGGATATTTATTCAACACTTCCGCAACCTACTTTGATATCATTTCTTTCCATTTCATTCCTTATCATTTCCATTTCTTTCAATCCTTATTTTTATTTAATCATTTCTTCTTTCAATTGTACAAATTACTTTCTATTCAAAGTGTAGCATTTGGTGTCTCTTCTAGATTGGGAAACAACAATGCTACCAACTTCTCCATTATTGAAGAAGCCTGAATAGCCTTACATCACAACCTTTTCACATAGTATGCCTTAGACTTTCTGTCCCTGTTCATAACCTGTTCTTGAGGCAATGGCAACAAATATATAGGAGTTAAAGGATTAAAGCCATAAACAATCTCAAATGGTGAAAATTAGTAGCAGAATGAACATAATGGTTATAGGCAAACTCAACATGCGATAAACAATCTTCCCATATCTTAATGTTCTTTTTAATGATGGAACACAATAAAGTAGATAAAACTCGATTTACAACCTCAATTTATCCATCAGTTTGAGGGTGACAAGTAGTGGAAAACATGAGTTTCATTCTCAATTTGCACTAAAGTGTCCTCCAGAAATGACTCAAAAACTTAACATCCCTGTTAGAAACAATAGACCTAGGAATTCCATGTAAACGAACAATCTCCTTGAAAAATAAGTTGGACTCATTAGTAGCATCAGCAGTTTTAAGACACGCAATGAAATGTGTTATCTTTGAAAACCTATCAACCACAACAAAGATACTATCTCTACCTGTCCTAGTTCTAGGTAATCCCAACACAAAATCCATCGAAATATCCAGCCAAGGGGAATCAGGAATAGGTAAAGGTAAATACATACCGTGTGGTAGAACCTTCAATTTTCTTTCTTACATGTTACACAACGCTCACATATTATTTCAATGTCCCTGCACATCTTAGGCCAGAATAGATGCTTCTTCAGAATGTGCAACGTCTTAGTAAATCCAAAATGTCCCATAAGTCCACCTTCATATGCTTCTCGAACAAGGACTTCTCGAATTGACCCTTGAGGAATGCAGATTCTTCCTTATTTGAAAAGATAGCCATCATGTCAATAAAACTTCTCGTCTGCACCTTTTTCACATGACATTTATCTTTATCTAAAATAAGAGTCAGTGGCATATAAATCTTTAATATAAGCAAAACTAATCAAATGAGGATCCAAATAATTCAGAAGTATATACCTGCAGGTCAAGGCATCCACTACTACATTGTCTTAACCCTTTTTATATCGAATGACATAAGGAAAAGAATCCAAAAATTCAACTCACTTAGCATGCCTTTTATTCAATTCATGCTGAACTGTAATGTGTTTCAAAGCCTCATGATAGGTGTGAATCACAAACTCTTTCGGCAAAAGATAGTACTGCCACGTCTCAAGTGCTCGAACTAATGTATACATCCCTTATCGTAAACTGGATAGTTTAAAGTGGCACCACTCAACTTCTCACAGAAATAGGCAATAGGTCGCTTTTCATGTGACAAGACTGATCCAATTCCTATACCTGAAGCATCACACTCAATCTCGAACATTTTATCAAAATTAGGCAAGGATAACACTGTTCCTTAGTCAAACAATCTTTTATTTTTAAAAAGGCTTCATCCTGTTCATTACCCCAATTGAAGATATAATTCTTCTTTATAATCTTGGTTAAGGGTGTGATAATGGAACTGAAATTAGATACGAACCGACGATAGAAAATAACTAAACCATGAAAAGATCTAACCTCAATTATCGACGTCGGTCAAGGCCATTCCTAAATTGCCTTTACTTTTTCAGGATCGACTTCTACACCCTAGGAACTAACAATGAAACAGAGGAAGGTAACCTTGTCAGTACAAAATACACATTTCTGTAAATTACCGAACAACCTTTCTCTTCTCAATGTGCCAATAACATTTCTCAAATGTTCCTCATGTTCCTGCAACGACTTGTTGTAGATAAGAATGTCATCAAAATACACAACACAATACTTTCCAATATAAGGTCACAAAACATGATCCATTAGCCGCATGAACGTACTAGGTGCATTAGTTAAACCAAAAGGCATCACTAACCATTCATACAAACCCAATTTCGTTTTGAAGGCTGTCTTCCAATCATCGCCTTCTCGCATTCGAATCTGATGATACCCACTCTTTAAATCCACCTTGGAGAAGATACTCGCACCACATAATTCATCAAGCATATCATCAAGGCGAGGAATAAGGTGTCGATATTTGATAGTGATCTGATTCACAACTTGACAATCGACACACATTCTCCACGTTTCATCCTTCTTTGGCACCAACAACACTGGTACAACATATGGACTCAAGCTCTCTTGAATGTAACCATTCTCCATCAACTCAGTGATTTGCTTCTGAATTTCTTTCATTTCTTCAGGATTACTTCGATATGCTAGCCTATTTGAAATAGTGTCTCCTGAAATAAAGTCAATCTGATGCTCAATGCCTCGAATAGGTGGCAATCCACTCGGTGTCTCATCCGGAAACACATCTTCAAATTCCTGCAAAAGAGATGCAATAGACACAGGCAAATCAATGGGAATTTTAGCCAATAAAAAACGCTCCTTATACATTAAAATAAGTAAAGACTGCTGAGAGGAAAGACATTTCTTGATTTCTTTTCTGTTTGCATACACGTTCATCTTTTTCTTCCATTTGCTTCTTCACTGTTCTTTTTCAAACGAACTTGATATTCTTGCACTTGACTTGGTGTCAAAGGTGCTAAAGTGATTTTCTTATATGCATTCATAAAAGAATATCTATTTGTGAAATCATCATGCATCACCTTTTTATCAAACTGCCACGGACGTCCCAACAACAAATGAGGGGAATCCATTAACACAACATCACACAACACTTCATCCTTGTACTTTCCAATAGAAAATGGATCAAGAACTTCTTTAGCAACCTTTAACTCTCCAGCATCATTCAACCACTGTAGCTTGTATGGATTGGGATGCTTTGTCGTTTTTAGCCCTAACTTGTCAACCATAACAATACTTGTAAATTTACTATCAATAATCATAACACATACCTTATCATTTACAAGACATCTTGTATGAAATATGTTCTCTCACTGCTTCTCATCTTGAATCAATTGTGCATTAAAACTTCTCTTAAGCACAAGTGCTTCACATGTTGCACAAGTCTATATTTGGTCATTATCTTCAGATTCAGACTCTATATCCCAATTCACACGCGTCAACATTATCCTTCAGTTAGGACACTGACTTGCAACATGCCCTCTGCCAAGGCATTTAAAGCATTGGATTTCTCTTGTGCGTTCTGGTTGTATATGTTGCTTTCCACGTCCAACTTCAACAATGGGAGGCTTTGAACTACTCGCTTCAATTCTTTCCTTAATCTTAAGCGGTGCTTGCTTCCTGGCATTGTTAGGAGTAAATAATAGATTAGAGAAAACTTTAGAAGGAGTATTACCTTGGTAAGAAGATTTTCTATGTTGCTACCTTTCTATTTTGATCGCCATATGCACCATGTCATCCAACTAGACATAATGTTGGAACTCAACAATGTTAGCAACTTCAAAATTCAAACCTACAAGAAAACGTTTCGTGGTTGCTTCTCTATCTTCCTCGATATTTGTATGCATCATGGCCATTTTCATCTCCTTGAAGTAATCTTCAACACTTCAAATACCCTGTTTCAAGTTTCATAATTTCTGAAATAAATCACGATGATAATGAGATGGAAGAAATTGTTTTCTCATGAGTCGCTTCATTTCTACCCACATGTTAATTGGACCCTCACTGGTTCTTCATCTACTGATCAACAATTGATCCCACCAAATGAAAGCGTAATCAACAAACTCCATTGTTTCCAAATGAACCTTCTTTTGTTCTGAGTAATTATAACACTCGAAAATATGCTCAACTTTACTCTCCCATGCCAAATATGCATCAAGATCTGTTTGTCACTGAAAAGATGGAATTTCAACTTTTATGTTAGCCAAATTATCATCAAATGCATGCTCATGTCTCTGATTCAGTCTCAGAGGCTGATCAATTTCGTTTTCATCATTAATCTTTTCATTACGATGAGATTGGGATCCTCCATCGACTTTATCCATTCTAGAATATAAAGCCTCAAGTTCAGCCCTTAACATCCTTTGTATCTCACGGGTAATGGCTTGCATTTGCAAGTTAGGTGGTTGGTCACCCAGATTGCTATCACTAGAACATGCCATATTTGTAAAATAAAACAAGACAACACAAAAATAATTAATGTATATAAGACATCACAACACACACAAAAATATTCTCAAAATTTTGCTCCAAAGAAATCAGAATTGGCACTCAATCACTCAACACTCGTGTTTCACTCGAGAGAAACTTTTAATGGCTCTTTTCTGTCTCCCCTTCTGATCTCAGACGCTCAATATGCCTTTTTCACTCGTTCCCTCATAATCAGTTCTTTTACGAACTAATTTCGATCTTTCAGAATCTATCAAGTGTGTCCGCTAAAAGAAATAACAACGGTCAATGTAAATTAGGAAGTAATGTAAAGAAAGGCTAAAATTCCAAGGGAACAAAGAAAGGAGATGAAAAGTAATAAGTAAACTTACTACAAATAAATGCTTACAATGAGACTATCACCAAAACCATCAAAGATGCTGCATTTTGGGTTGAATCAAAGCATTTCAATGTTGAACAACACAAGATCATTACACTTTTCTTCATCTTTTCTAAAAAATGAGAAACTTTTCTTTTCTTTTCTTTATTTTTCGGATTTTTTGTACATTTAAAGTTGAATTTCTTACTTGGTTCAAACCTTTGCTCTGATTACCACATGATATAAGATAGCCTATTTATTGAAGACCTCTTCGATTGTAATGTATCTAGAATGAAATAAGTAATTCCTTAGCAGCAGACTTACTTAAAAGTAAGGATGATGATGGGAGTTGTATAGTTAAGGCTATGGGCGAAAATGGCTAAGAAAAGGAAAAAAAGGATGAAGAAAAGAAGGAATTAGGTTGTTGGAAATTTACAAAGGTGAAAGATGGAAGATGAGTGCTCGAAAAAGATGATAATGGTGAAATAACAAATCTGGAAATTTTTGTTAACAAACAAAGAACAAGGAAGAACTTATACTAAAAAGTATAAACCCGCACCATATACATTCAATGTTCAAAGGACTTGGACCCGTTAGATAGCAATCTAAGAACCCGAAGTATCACAAGCTTAACACAACAAGATCAGACTTGAAATGTCAAGAAGGTAGTTCTAAGAAGAACCAACATTGAGAGAAAAACTCAAAATATTTTTTATGCATAAAAATGTCTGATTACAAATGAAATAAGAAAGCCTATTTATATAATTTTAAAGGGGTATAGCCGTATGGTATTTGGCCAGACCTTGTGCTCCCTCAAAGACATAATTTAATGCTTAATTAACATGAATAAATAGATGATGGTTTGCTGGTCATATGCAACATGACTTGGACGTGTATGAGCTTGCTTGAGTGGGTATCTAGTTAGCAAACAAGGGCTGGTGGTGATTAGCTGGCCTTGAGTTCTCTTTAGTGTTCCACTAGCTGTCCAGATTCTTTGTGAGCTGTTGTGTCTCCCAAATGCTCCACCAAGATGTTTGTCTTCCAAAATGCTCCACTAAGTTGTATGTGTCTTTTAAATGCTTCATCAAGCTTTCCCTACATGTATCATGCTCTAATGAGCTGTATATGTCTTCTATGGATGAATGGTTGCAAATCCCGTATTTATTTCCAGCCTGTACTGTCTTTAGTAATCTTGGTATATCTTGAGCTCCCATTATTGGATTGATACTATTAAAAGTAAGTTGGAAACCTAAGAGATAGGAGATTAAATGTTAAGAAGACTTCATCACCCAAAGTTTCTTGGAACAAGTTTAAAAGTGGCGATCAATATGAGTGACGTGAACTGTCTACTGGATTGCCTTAAACGTACCTTGCACTAAATACAAAATGTATATAAGTTCCAATTCTCATGTTCATGAATAAATAATAAGTATGCTACAATTTGTTAAATGTGATGAATCATTCTTAGCTAAAATGAATGCATGTGAGCTAATGAATGATAGATATGCTCCATTATATAAATGATATGCAAACAGAATAAATGAATCTAAAACATATGTAAACATAATATAAAGCAAAGTAAAGATGTGGAAACATCTATTACTCATATAAGTCCTTAGTATAACTATGGTGGCGTTACACATCAGTATGTAACATATCAAAATGCTTCGGTTCTAAGGCATAAACATTATGAAATGATTCAGAAATTTGTAAACACTTAAGAGAAAGAACTTCCTTGAAATTCTTTGGCTTAGAACGTGTGATAGGCCCTATTGGCAAGAATTCCGGATCAACTTCTTTTGCTGGCATAGATGTGCTCACATCTGTTCCAATGCTCAAGGTAATGAATAAGTAATAAGTAACATTCTAATGTAACACATGATTCCATGGCTAATATAATAAAGCAATGGATACGATAACATAAGTAAGGAATGTGTAACATATGCATGAAACAAGCTAATTAAAGATGTGACATGCATGAATATCATATAGAATGCAAACATAGGACAATATATGAATATTCAAGCATAGTTTAGAATGTCAAAGCATGCTTATAACACATATAAAGCATAAATGAGTAAATAAGTAATAAAATATGGAAGAACTCCCTTAGAATCATCTTGGAACAACTTCATAGTTGTGAGCATGTTTTGTTTGAACATTGTGGTCAGTAGGATCACAACAACCCCCTTCTTTTAGGCAATTTGTCCCCAAATCGATGCTTCACAACATAAGGGAACAGCTTTGATCTTCGTTGGAATGTAAATTCTTTTATTCTCTTATTGCGTTGTTTTCTTGGAGAAGATACTCACACCACATAATTCATCAAGCATATCATCAAGGTGAGGAATAGGATGTCAATACTTGACAGTGATCTGATTCACAGCTCGACAATTGACACACATTCTCCATGTTCCATCATTCTTTGGCACCAACAGTACTGGTACAACACACGGACTCAAGCTCTCTTGAATGTAACCCTTCTCCATCAACTCAGTGATTTGTTTCTGAATTTGTTTCATTTCTTTGGAATTACTTTGATATGCTGGCCTATTTGGAATTGTGGCTCCCAGAATAAAGTCAATATGATGCTCAATGCCCATAATAAGTGGCAATCCACTCGGTGTCTCATCCAGAAACTCATATTCAAATTCCTGCAAAAGAGATGCAATAGACACAGGCAAATCAGTGGGAATTTTAGCCAATAAACAATGCTCCATATACATTAAAATAAGTAAAAACTGCTGAGAGGAAAGGCATTTCCTGATTTCTTTTATGTTCGCATACATATATATTTTTTCTTCCCTTTTGCTTCTTCACTGTTCTTTTTCAAACGAACTTGCATTTATAAAAGAATATCTATTTGTGAAATCATCATGCATCACCTTTTTATCAAACTGCCACGGACGTCCCAACAACAAATGAGTGGCATCTATTGACACAACATCACACATCACTTCATCCTTGTACTTTCCAATGGAAAATGGCACAAGAACTTGTTTAGTGACCTTTAACTCTTCAGCATCATTCAACAACTGTATCTTGTATGGATTGGGATGCTTTGTCATTTTTAGCCCTAACTTGTCAACCATAACAGTACTTGCAAAGTTAGTACAAGTACCACTATTAATAATCACAACACATACCTTATCATTTACAAGACATCTTGTATAAAAGATATTCTCTTGCTGCTACTCATCTTTAATCGATTATGCATTCAAACTTCTCTTAATCACAAGTGCTTCACATGTTGTACAAGTTTGTAATTGGTCATTATCTTCATTATCGTCCACAAAAGGGGTGTCTTGCTCATCATATTCAGATTCGGACTCTATATCCCTATTTACATGCGTCAACATTGTCTTTCGGTTATGACACTGATTTGTAACATGCCCTCTGCCAGGGCATTTGAAGGATTGGATGTCTCTTGTGCGTTCTGATTGCATATGTTGCTTTCCACGTCCAACTTGAACAACGGGAGGCTTTAGACTACTCGCTTCTATTCTTTTCTTAATCTTAAGCGGTGCTTGCTTCCTAGCATTGTTAGGAGTAAAAAATGGATTAGAGAAAACCTTAGAAGGAGTATTACCTTGTTAAGAAGATTTTCTACGTTGTTGCCTTTCTATTTTGATCGTCATATGTACCATGTAATCCAACTCGACATAATGTTGCAACTCAACAACGTTAACAACTTGAAAATTCAAACCTGCAAGAAAACGCTCCATAGTTTCTTCTCTATCTTCCTCGATATTTGCGCGCATCATGATAATTCCCATCTCCTTGGAGTAATCTTCAACACTTGGATTAACCTGTTTCAAGTTTTGTAATTTCTAAAATAAATCATGATGATAATGAGATGGAACAAACCGTTTTCTCATGACTCACTTCATTTCTACCCACGTATTCACTAGACCCTCACCGGTTCTTCGTCTACTGATGAACAACTGATCCCACAAAATAAGAGCGCAATCAACAAACTCTATTGTTGCCAAATGAACCTTTTTTGTTATGAGTAATTATAACACTCGAAAACATGCTCAATTTTACTCTCTCATGCCAAATATGCATCAGGATCTGCTCGTCCCTAAAAAGATGGTATTAAAACTTTTATGTTAGCCAAATTATCATCAAATGCACGCCCATGTCTCTGATTCAGTCTCAAAGGATGATCAATTTCGTTTTCATAATTAATCTCTTCAAATGATGAAATTGGGATCCTGCATCGACTTTATCCATTATAGAAGATAAAGCCTCATGTTCAGCCCTTAACATCCTTGTTGAGTTAATCGATTGACGGAATCGACCAAGGGGGGTGAATTGGTAATTAAAAATTTGGTGGAAGCTTTTGCAGAAAAATTGAAAGTAATTGCACAGCTATTTAGAGTGGTTCAACTTTCTCAACCAAAGACTACATCCACAACCTTAGCT